CTGAAGTTAGTATCGCCTACGAGCTAGTGTTGTGACTGCCTTGCGGGAAATGACTACCTTATAATTAGTGGAAGCTCTCGCTACTGTTTTCGTCACGACTTCAATTATCGGTGTGGCTATCGAAAACCTCGCAAGCCTGTCTACACGTTGGACATGCTTTAATCCCCTCATGTACACCTTCTTGGTAAATGCTTTTTCAACATCTTTGGAACATGTATATAACTGTATTACTGAAGAAACTCCAGATGGCTTCTTCAATACACTTACGTTCTAGTAAATTGGTTGTAAATAATAACGGTAATAATAATAATTACGATGATAATGATAAGCCTTATGAGTGGTGGAGGTAAAGCTTCACTCAAAAATTATAATAACGTTATGAACTGTACAGACATAAACGGGCAACTCAGGAATACGTGAAATAATATGGTGCCGGTTGAAATATTCAGGGTGAAATACTGAACCAGTTATATTGTGCTTTTGGTTAGAATATGCGGTCGATAATTTTTCGCCGGATAGTTTGTAGTCCTGGACAATCAGGCGCGAAAGTCTTGTGGTAAGTGGCTTCAGGCAAACCTAATACACTAGGCTACCTTGAAGACTGTTCGGAAACCATTTAGTAAATGGCAGTTTGGTTCCAAAACCTCATTAACACTTCTTTATATCATTATAGATCTTACTAGAAATAACGTACTTCATTACTTTTCCACCCCGAACTTAGTTCTCGCCAGCGGTTATGGAGTCTGTAAAATCACTTGCTTTCTTTCTGCAGAGGTAAATGATCAAGAGGTTCAATGATCCTGTGGTCTATCGAGGAGGCGCCCTCATCAGACCAAATTTTCAGAAAGTAAAAACGAAGGCAGACAACTTCGAGTCCTTTAGTGGAACTCCACTGAGTAACACTAGTTGAAAAGGCACTGGGGCACTCCAGAAGCAATATGATGAAGCCACTTAGTCGCCCATACTCTGGACAGTTCCAAAAAGGTGAAACCAATGCTATCTTTTAGAGAATCGTGGGATACATTTCAAACTGTCACGAAAGGCGAAATTTTGAAACATCCCCATTATTACAAGGGAAAAAGTGAGATCCAGCAGTTTGGTTCAGGATAATTTTCATCTACATCTACATCACTTGGCGGAAATAAATAAATCTGCATGGACAAACTTCAGTAAAGTACTTGCAGCAAATATTCTCACTCACTAGGCACAGAGTAAAATGCACTCATGAATTTATGTTTCAATTACGGGAAGAAGCACATCTCAAATGATGGATGAAGACTGGAACAAAAAACGAGCAACCAACGTTTACCATCGGAGCGACCACTTGATACAAGACTATCCCCAGAATTAATATCTCTGAGCTAGCTACTCATTATGAACGTCAACTAGGATGATGCACAGAAATAAAAAATAAGTTAAGGCACGAAAAATCAGCGAGGTTTTATGGGGTACACATTAAAATCGCGATAAAACTTAAAATATAAGTTAACTTATTCCCCATCATATTCACGATATCACCTCACGACTGTGAGTTACCATTGGATTGAAAAGAATCGACTGTCACTTCAGTTGACGAGACGGAATCAAGACAATATCCGTGGAATCAAAGAACCATCAGACTAACAAGGAAGAAATGTTGTCTGTACTATTCACCGTCTCATTTTGAGGAATTCAAACGGCACGCTCGTCATCACAAAACACTAGGGTATCATCCTACTAAATACTTTAGGTGTTTTTCTCACTATAATCATACAGCCAATACTGCACGCTAAGTTTTTGGATATTTATTGGACCTTTAGGCATTCTGACTGCGGAACTATTTCAACTAGCTTTAGTACTAAGAATTCATCCGGAAATAACCAGTCATTGTAGCCCACACCTTAGGAGGAACATTGGATTATTGGTCAGCGTACGTAGTGGGTATTCCAAGCATTAATCGGTTTTTAAAAATGACCTTACTCGGCTCTCTTGGAAGCTTTACATTTGAAACCATTGTGGTACAGACTTGTGTGGGAGCTTGGCATATTACACCACTCATCCAAGAAGTTAGTGTGTCGATACTTGGCCGCTGTTCCGTCACATTGTGATTTTGTCTTTTGTACCATGATAATTTCCTTTATGGATGCTCATTACTAGTGTGCCTCAGAGTTTGGTACATAAAGAATGTTTAGTGCTTATACTTATACATGGTTTTATAAAATGATAAAAACTGCAATGTGGCTTCAGTAGGTCTCTGGACTTATGGTCTACTATGATATTAGTACTGCTCTAATAATAGACCTAATCCTAAAATTGTAAATTTATCGTGATGTCACTGCCTAATCATTGTCTACAATGACTCATCGTATCGTAAAATCACCAATACAAATAAAGAAAACAAGATAACATTCGACAAGGACCACGCTTACAAGGCCGAGCCATGCCGTTTGACCATTTCGAATTAATTCAATTTATTGTTCCCGCCTTCTTCATCGTTGGGTTTCACACCACGTTAAGTGTTGAATATCTATTTCCCCAACTGTCGCATGTTCAGCTTTGAGGTTTGTGTAGTTAGTGCCCAATGCCACCATAGGACCTCATTCAGATGACGGTGCCAAAACAATTATGGCGTGCGACGTTCATTTAAACATACAAAACATTTAACATTCGATTTAGGTTAATTGGAAACATAATGCCTACGTAAAATAAGAAAGTAAACAAATACTTGAGCTATGATTTTTTGACATTAGCAGGGGATTCCCGAATAATATTCAACCACTCAACTTTAGCCTTTGCAAACTGACCGGAACGTATATTATTAAAATTACAGTATATTCTGGCTCAATGAATTAAGTACATCATAAAGAAAGCAAATAGTCTAGAAATATCTCTTTACACATTAATTGTTAGCGATTTTGTGCTTCACATTGTTTACGTTACTAAAGGTGACTTCTTTGTGAATCGTATCCTCTAATATATTCGACCATACTATTTGAAGGGGGCTTATGCTATTGTACGGGTGCCAAGTCTTCGTTATCTCCATCAGATAATTTGCTTTTTAATGGATCATATACTGTAAACGCTGAAGAACACAAATATTTGTGAAACATTTTGAAAGAACTGTAAGTGAACATTTTGTGGTTTCAGTGTAGCTCAATATATGTGCACCCATTTATCCCACCAAGATAAGAGAACTTATCTAATTTTATGGACTTGTGATGATTTTACTATAAAATCATACGTCCAAATAACATCACTGTATAAACTGAATTAAACTATCACAACGGCCGGTAGTGTTTTCATTAACCTTTAGGGAACACAATTGTGCCGGAGATTGAGTGGTATATTCAATAAAAAAGCAAGACGTTACACACAGTGATCACGCCTACACGGCTGGGCAACTCCATCTCTGATTATTGTCCAACGTAGACCCTTACTGTCTTCACACAAGTGTTCAACGTTCAACGTGAGCCTTCTTAGCTATTATATGTTCAACAAGTGCCACTACAAACTCATCAATAAATATATTACCGAACCCGCACAAAGAATGAATCAACTGATGGTTAAAATTCGAGCGAAATATTCTTGCAAGGTAAAAGACTGCAGTCGAATCGCTCGTAGAGTGGAACGACGGATACTGGTCACCAGTCGATTTGGAAGATTAGTTAATAATAGTAAATTACAAGTAACATCTCTCTTTTCTATTATGTTTCCCCATGCTGTTGTGACGAATGATGATAACTCTAGGTCGATGCACTCAAAATTTAACTGAAAATTCCAAAAATCCAAACTTTTAAACTTGCAAGAAAACTGGTAAAGTTTCAAATACAATTTTACCTGACAAAATAAAAAAAATTTGACTGTCTGAGTAATTTCGTTATACATATTGAAGGGATGTCTCAAGAATTATTCCAAAAATTTGGGCGTTAAACTAAACTCAAGTTCAATTTTCTAACTGAATTATCATTGTATAAGGCCACTTTTTTGCTAGTAACTCCTGGCGAAAACTAATTTTTGGATACTACTAACTTTTTGATACTACCTTCCAAGGTTTGCTTAGGCAAACAAATTAAAATCGATAAGACGATAAAGTTAACGTAAGGATTCTCCATTCTAAACACTTCCTAAATCTTACATCTTATTTTTATGCAGCCACAGTCAGAAAGATGGAGTATTATAGGTTAAAATGTCTTTTCAAGAGGACCGAAATAATATAGAAACAGTTTTGCCCATTTATATTTGTCATTCCGGAAAGGAGGACGAGTGTGTTTCTAAATCAGGATACAAACTAAACACACTAAGGTTCCAAAATAAAATATTATGATTAGCACTGTAAACTCTTGCATCAATCTGAAGAACAACCTTTGACAAAAGTTTTAATTTTAATTTTTACCATTGGAAACTAACCTTAACATCGAAGTCATAAAACAAATAGCCCCAATGACAATAATCATATACCAACAATACATATTTTACACGTCTAACAAAATATCTGGGCATTGGAACACCGAAAGCACCAACAAAACCATAAGATGGATGGAACGGAACACAAAACCAAACCGTGTCCATCGCAGACCGCGGAGATATCGGAAACGATGCATGTGCCCCCACCATGTTTACAAAAATACGTACCTCATAGGGAAGATGTAACTCCAGTTAATGAACCTGGTTTGACTGAAGGCCAGATGACGATCCCGGTTTGTCTCTACCCTTATTTGAAGGTGGTGACGAACTATTACCAAACAGGAGCAGTGTTTCAGATACAACACAACAATATAAGTCACTCAGTGGTTTGCTTATATTACTTAGAGAAAATAAAAGAATAACAACTCTTTTACCTGGCTAAAAATTTTCAACTGCCTGTATCATGTTGATCAATCACAATTTTTTTCACACAAACTTAATAATCTCTGTGGAGTTTACGGATTTATTCGAAGTTATGTTTATTGTTTCTCCTAGCATCTTCAATGAACGCCATTTCAAGGTCTTCTCAGTAGCGCATCAAATAAAAGGTTTTGGAAATGTCAATGCAGGAATTCTCGGATAATTTATCCACTTTGTCGTACATGTCTCGACGTCGCATTCCAACGTGGGTATATGATCCTAAGAACAAAACTCTTTTCGGCCGCACATGCTGCAGCTGGAGTGAGTTTGACATATCAGTATCTAGCGTCCTTAGCTCTCTGTATTTTGTTCTACTTGATATATTATGCTTGCCTGGCAACATTCTTCACCTGTTTATTGTGGTTGGTATTGTATTGCAACGCCCCAGAGAACCAGCCGGCTAGAACTGGAGCTCAGAGTTTACTAGATTTCAAGCCAGGTATTTGTTAGTATGTAAGTTTGATCTTTTCTCAAAAGGCCTTGGGTTCCGTCCACTATTAAATGTTCAAAAATCTCTCATTCATTATTCTTCTGGCGATTCCCAAACCTATCTACCATACACTCAGAACATAGACGCGTATTTAGATACGTATAATCAGGTTAACGCGAAGCCCGATAGTCAATTTGCCAGTTGTAAAGGCAAGGAAGGAGAAACAAAAGATGTGGATAAGGTTTGCAAATTCCCTCTTGAGAGTTTGGGACCTTGTAACACTTCAAATAATTATGGTTACGATAGTGGAACACCTTGCGTTCTTCTTAAAGTAAATAAGGTAAGTAATAATGACCACCTGCTGATTTGGTGCTATTACTATGTATTTTCCTAATTTAGTTTAAATTATTAGTTTAAATAAATTGTTTGCCTATCGTAGCTCATTTTCCTGGCTTCTTGATCCTACCAGTGCGACACTATAGTAAAACTTTATTTGAATGTCTGTCCACAGAATGTTTTATGAGATAGAAATCTAGTTGATATATATATATTCTTAAATTAACTTCACTTCTAGATAGTCTTACAGTATTATTTAACGTCGAGTGGTTTTGTGTCAAGTATTTAATGATGTTCAACTTGTTTCATTTTTCTGTATATAGGAAAATGTCTAATTATGATTAAGTGTAAGGCAGTAATATTGCAGTTATTGTTTGCATAATTGCTTAGTTTTTTAATTGTCATGTATAATTTGGTAGACTAAATATCGTGATGTGATAACAAACCGAATTATTGGGCATCACAAGTTCACCAACCTACAATTTGTCACGATGTCATATTGTGGCTAAAACAATAGAAAACACAATCAGTTTATTCTTAAAAACTTTCCACTTACGATAGCATGTATATTTCATCCTTTTACTGTATCCTACATAAAAGAACTAATCCTTTCAGGGAAGCTTGGGTGAATTGGAAAGAAATCAATTTCATAACATTCACTATTTGTTTTTTATAGGTTCATGCTTATCTTCTCATTCGATATCCAGTCATCACTGGATTTTAGTGTTACCTAATTGGCCAACTTCAGTATGGTTTCCAAGTCATTAAACTCTTTTTTAAATAGTTAGAACTTGGGGCCAATTTACCGTAAACATCATATTCCACGTCAGTCTTCAACAGTATTCCTGCACAGTTATCAAATATGAGAGCTGATGGAAACTAACTTAATCTCTTGTCTTATAAAAATCTATTTTGATTCTGGTTTCGGTGACAATAAAGTTGAGACTTCAATAGTACACCTAATACTTTGTTTTTTGTCCTTAAGTAACAAGTGCAATTTGAGTGTTTATTAATCAAACAATGTTGCTGTTAACTAACATCAGAATACTTTTTTATGTCACATCCCTTTATCGGTTAACCTTAAATTGATGAAAATACTTACGTCACGGATAAAATGTTTCTATCGACGAATTAAAGTGAAGCGTTCACAAATTGTGACTAATTTTGTCAAAAGCTCGTCCGAGCTAAATAGATTCAGAAGTTTTGGCTGTTTAGAGGAATGTTAATTTGATAGATAAGTTTAAGTACGAACGGTTTTGATCTAGTTGATAAGTTGTAATTATTTACTTAAGTAAAGAATAAATGTTGTAGTGCTCCGTTATTTTGTTTGATGAACAACTGAAAAAATATTTTTTCAATGAACTTATTATTGTTCATTGCTGTTGTTAATTTTTGGCCAGCATTGCTGTTTGCATTTTCTCTTGTTTAGTGTAAATGAACTATATTAAGTTCTGTTGCTTATCGAATTATCCATCTGTTACACTTGATAAGTTTTTACGACCATGGAAGTTTTTAAATTCTTCCAGACTCATGAAGCTCTTATTACGCGGATTTGTTTCAGGGATCATAACATTAGTCGCGTTGTTGTTTAACTGTCTTGAAATTTATTCTAGTAATTTGATCTTATTTTTTATTTTTTGTGTGATAATAACTGTGTGGTAACCTTTTAGCTCCAATCTAATATAAATTTCTAGTTTAATTTATAATATATATAATATTATATAACATTATGGAAACCTCTCCGACACTACCTGAGAAAATCGTCAACATCATACGGAATTCATATGACCGACTACAGTGCAAAGTCGTGCATAAAGGACAGCTGACAGACGCGTTCCAATTAAGGACCACAGTCAAGCAAGGTTGCTTACTTTCACCGTCTCTCTTGCTTCTAGTGGTTGACTTGATTATGAAGACCTCAATATCTGATGAGAAGCACGGAATAAAATGGACAGGTTGGATGCAACTAGACAATTTGCAGTTCGCAGATGACTTGACCCTTCTATACCATACACATTAAAAAATGCAGTTCAAAATAAAAAGTGTAGCAGCAGCCTCCACATTAATAGGCCTCAAACTATTCAAGGAAAAAAGCAACATACTCAAGTACAACACAGAGAACAACAACCCAGTCACACTTGATGGGGAAGCTCTGGGACAGGTGAATACATCCATGTATCTAGGCAGTATTAACAATGAACAGAGAGGATCTAATGCAGACGTAAAGACGAGAAATTGAAAAGCAAGTACAGCATTCCTACAGTTGAAGAACATATTAAACTCAGAACAACTGTCGGCCATCATCGAAACCAGAATCTTCTATACGAACATTATGAAAGTTCTACTATACGGAGCTTAAACATGGAGAACTACTACAATCATCACCAAAACAGTACAAATATATATAGACAGTTATCTACGGAAAATACCCAATATCCGTTGATCGGATACCATCAACAGCAGCCTACTATGGGAGAGAACAAACCAGCTTCCAGTTGAATAGAAAAAGACGCTGGTGGTTGATAGGACATATCTTGAGGAAGTAATCAAACGGCATCATGAGGCAGTTCCTAACTTCAACTCCTGAATGGAAACGGAAAATAGGAAGGCCAAAGAATACACTGGGTCGGGAATTGGAAGCAGACATGAAAAGGATGAATAGAAGTTGGAAAGAACTGGGGAGGGTTGTCTAGGAAAAAATACCATGGAGAATGCTTGTGTGTGACCTATGCTTCTCCATGAGGGTTAACAGGTGTAAGGTAATTAAGAGACCTTATTGAAAAGAATATGCTCCGTTCATATATCTGTGTTCTAATTATCCATTCATGAACCGATGTCGTGTTTTGACTAGACTACTCCTATCTTTTTTTCAGCCTAATACTACACCAGAAAATGTTACCTTTCGAAGAAGTCGGTGGTTAGGCATATATAACACATGTCACAACCACCCCAGTTGATAAAGATTTACTACGTCATCAGTCAATTCGTTCCTACATTATGTAAAATAAAGTAGCTTATCTAAAATATTTTTACTTTGTGACCTGGTTTTACCCCACCTGATTAGGACTTTGTTTAGAGTACTGGAACTGTACGACAGACTGCGATTAATTTTAAATGATTATTTTTATGGAACTGATTTTTATTCATATCTAAATTAATTTAAAAAGCGCTAGTGATAGTTTACTTCTCATTTTGACATTTTTTCGAAGCCTATACATTTTCTTTATGAATGTCGTTCTTTATCAAAATTTTCACACTAATTTACGGTTGAGGATTGATGTACACAACATACGTAAAAATCCTCAATAGATAGGCTCTCCAGCTGTCTTTTCATCTCACTTATTATAACTTTCACATCCTCTCAATGATAGGATCATCTGCTCAGATGATTTTCCTGAATTCGATTCCTTAGTAATAACCTGGAAAAGATGTTGAATATCAGGGAACACAATAGATCCCATAGGTTCAACAATTTTATTAACACAGATGATCAACAGTTGCCTTGGTCTTAAAATATCTTTACAATCCTCGCGATACTCACTGAAATGCTTGATCTACACAAAATGACATATTTTATTCAGTAGGTTATTTCCATAGATAACCTTCAATATTTCAGGATTTTACTGAGATATTTTTCAAAGTTTTACCGCAACAATTGAGTAGTCGAGTTTGTGTATTAACTGTATAGATTATAAATTACACCTAAAGTTTACTCAAAATAAGAAAAACCATTGATATACAATTTAATACGTAGAAAATAGTAAAATTATATATTAAAATTATTTTTAGTCGGAAAATTATAATTAAACTTATATGGAACGTAAAATGTTTATATTTTACGCAAAAAACAGATTTCTCAAGGATACCTCTGATATAAATGATTAATTCAACAACAGTATTATTTTGTAAGTTAGTTAATCAAAGTGATAAAAAAAACAACTAATCATTGGCCAAGTGAAATAAAAATTTTCCCCTCAAGACTAAAACTAAAATCTTCACATGGACTTGCTTTTCGCCATTTAATCCGTAATGATTTTTTTTCTCTCTCTCCCTTGTTTTCTTTACCAATAAAATAAATATCGAACAACTCCTTTTAAATATCTAGCTGGCAAAGAGTTTACTATAAATCGATTTTAAAAAAAGACTATATGTTATGTAATTTTTGAGAACATTGAAAAGTATTTATATTTACTGAATCCAGTTAGTTGTAAAATACGTAGGACCTGGCAAGTATGGGAATCAGTCAAAGCTGTCACCTTACATCAACATAACGAGACTATATTACCGTAAAAAAATTACAGAGTAGTAGAAGTAGTGATATTATCAATATTAGTAAAAGGTATCAGAAACAAGCAATATGATTCAAGGAGACAAAATGAAGGTGTATGATAATTCTAAAATTTAAAATCTGAGGAAAAATGAATAGTGATTGCAACTGCGCCATTGTGACGATTTTTGATTCAACCCACTTAATGTTTTCAACCATTGGTCTTGATAATCCAGCAGACTTCTACCAGGTAGTCTGCACCTGTCGAAGTGACTCAGTTCACCAGTTATTAACTTTACAGACAGGTCCTACGTCTTGGTTAAACTGTTCCTAGCAATCATGAAGCCTACTTTTCTCTCTGAAAACACCCTAGTCTGAGATGGGCGGTAGCTGGGTTAACGTGATATATGCATCAACCACCTCAGTCGATAAAATCAACAATCTTATTAATCAATTTGCTACCTTTACCTAGTGTTTCGTACGTAACCACAAGATTGCTCACTCACCAATGGGAGCAATCGTCCGAAGTAATCTATGGACAAATACTAGTAATCTATGGGTATCTTAAATTTTTGGAGGTCACGTTTATAGCTATATTGTAGAACATAACGAACTGCCGAGCAGTATACTCATCCTTTAGGTACTACAAAGACAAAACTGATATTCACTATAAGAAACACTGAAACTGACATAAAACAATAAAGAAGACAAAAATTGATGATTCAAACAGATTTAATTTAACCCTCCAAAAAACAACTATGGCAACGATCATTTGAATTGAAATCAATTTGATTTGTCTAGATCTACTTAACTAATATTTTATAATTCAGTAATGAATCATGGATTACTTCAAATGAAAAATCTCTTAAATATTATAAAATATATCAGAAGGGTTTTGTGGATATTATAGTCATTTCAGTGGTTGAGATCATGTGTCAATTGAAGCTAGACCACCATGGAAAAGCTGGAAGCACTGGACAGCAGTTTCGTCTTATTGTGGGACTCCTTAGCAGTGCTCTACCACAACCACACCAACTCAGTGGTCTAGTGGTTAAGTGCTCGTGAGCGAGACTGATAGGTCCTGGGTTCGAATCTGGCGGGGCGGGTTCGTGGATGCACACTGTTGAGGAGTCCCACAATAGGACGGAATGGCTGTCCAGTGATTTCAGCTTTTCCATGGTGATCTAGCTTCAATTGACTCATGATCTCAACCATTAAAATTAATATTTTATAATTCAGTAATGGATCATGGATTACTTCAAATGAAAAATCTTTTAAATATTATTTTAAAAAATATCAGAAGGGGTTTTGTGGAGATTGTAGGAATTTCAATAGTTAAGACCATGATTCATAATCACAGTAACCAATCCTATACATTTTTTTTCAAATTCAAGTTCAAATGTTACCATTTCTTTTAAATTTAATGATCTTATATCCCAGAATTAAGAAGGAAAAAAACAGGCGATTAAATTTATGAAATTAGATGATTTCACTTCGTTACCCTACCTTTTTTCTGAGAAACAAAATCGTTGAAAATATGTTAATTCTCCGGGTTTTTTTTTAAATGTATAGATTGTTATGGTTACTATTATTAGTAATGATTATTTTTCCATTGAATGAAATCAACACAGTTTATCTATACATGTACGTGTAATTATGTAAATTTGGCAAGAAAAGACAAATCACTAACTTAGAATACTTTTTAGTATAAAGATCTCATTTCAATTGCTACCATTAATTATTGGTTGATTTGAAAATTTTCTCTTGACAACTGGAATAACGTCACAATATTATTAAAAATGTGCTTAATTTGTATGTTGTGTTTTTATGTGTTTGTGTGTGTGTATGTGTATGTGCGTATACCCGACAAAGTGGATCACATTGTTCAATTTAGTCGGTGAAATTATTTTTGTTGTTATAATAAGTGGTTCTAGAAAAAAAATTATTTTTTTCTGCTGATTTCAAATAATCTTTTCATCTAATGTCACAACGACTCAGATGTATTCATGCTTTGACTTCTTTAAGATTATAAATTTTAAAATCATATTCAACTTTACTATATTGTAAATTCATTCTTTCTTTATGAATTATATTATTTCTATATAATCTTTTCTACTAGTACTGATTATTTTTAAGTATCAATATCAAGGTTAGACTTGATAGTTTCAAATAGATTGAGCATTGGATACAAATTTAATATTAAATATACTTATATGAGTAGAAAAATCGTATTTCTGACGTTTCGTAACTTAATGTAAACCATTTCATTTATTAAGTCTGAAGAATTGAGAAGTGACAATGTTGCTAATTCTAGTTTTCTGGTATTTTTCATGATAATTCAATTTGTGTTAATATGGTAGGGTAACTTAAACTGATTCACATATATACTAGGACCTAAATTACTGATGATTAGATAGACTGACTTCAAATAATGTTCTTTTTTTACTTACTTTATGTAATATACACATGTTTAATAGAAATTATAACTGAACAGTTTTTTTCCTTATAATTATTAATACTTTTTGAGCGAGTTAATAGGGGAACATTTGAGAATAATATCGATTTATCTACATTAGAGATTGTCTGATGTATATATTTATATTTCATTAAGTTGTATCTTCAGTGCTTAATCTTTTCTTTTACCATCAATACTGTCACTAATTCTATTATTCTGGGATTTGACATGACAGTTTCATCTTTCTGTCCTAAGGAAGTGTGGCAACTTGAAACGAAGTACCTATGTACCACGTTCTAAATGGTCATTAATTGACTAACTTACGTCACAGAATCCGCTCATTTGCTTGTATATATAATAAACTGGATTATTTTCGGAACTCTTAAGAGATTAAAAAATTGATTAAATACTTGTCTGATATAGAATATAAAATAGATTTTTCATATTGGCTAGAATAGTTGATTCATTAATGAAAAAACACCAATAATAATCATCATCAATATCTCTGTATGAATTGAGACTTGAATATACTTTCTCACTGTTTTCTTTTAATGATAATAAACGATTCATACACCTTGTCATTTTATGCTTGATTTCAACTACTGTCAATACTACTGTAATGAACAGTGCAATTTCCAAATGATAATTGATATCTATGCGTTATTTTTTCTCAGTGCATGTAAAAATAGTTGATAATCACATGTAGTCTTATAGAATACATTTACCATATATAATTATTAGTCATCTGCATGAATGTAATTATATTTCATTGGATGGATTTAATTATATAGTTTCTAAATTATTCTAGGTGTTTGGATGGATGCCGTCTATTGAAAAACCATCTCAATCAAATGATATCTTGGTTAGTTGTTCTGGACAAGTAAGTTTATGTATAGCAAGTTGATAACTTCATTATCTTCTATCTCCTAACAATTTGCACTTGGTATATATATATTCACTAAATAGTTTTAGTACGAGATGAATTGTCGCTGATAATTTTGTGAAAGCCATCGAAGTAAGACAAGTTGGATGCGCTGAAGTATAAGCCATTATTCACTTAGTAACAAACAATCTTATTGTCGCGCAACTCAGTAAACAAATACAAATATATACTGATAGCAAGCGGATAAAGTATAAATCAGTATTTTAGATTATTGGTTAGTAAGTGGATTTATGCTGTTACATGATCGTAACAAACTTATCAGACCATCTATTCTGTTACTAAATCAATCAGCATAAATGACTTTAACACATTGTGATTTTAATTTGATATTCAGTCAAAATGTGTATAATGGGTGTTTTTTTCCTAAATATCAATTCTTCTCACTTAAATAATAGACTTTGCCTTTCGATATACATGTAATGTATTTTTTTAAAGTCATAAACCGATCGGTGTTAGACCCCCATTGAAAACCTGGAAGCAGCAGGCGGCAGTTTCATCCCGCTATAGAACTCCTCAGCAGTGAGCATCCACGACCCAGTGCCATCGCTTTCTCTCACAAACCCTTAACCTATAGTCCAACACATTAATCAGTTCATGATTTCAATGAAAATCAACAATCTGCACAACACTATACTGGCAATATAACTCAGCTGTTCAGACTGAAGTGAAGTAGAAATATAGCTGTTAATCTAATCTATTATTTTACAACCGATTCTGCCAACGTTATATTGAAGAATATTGTTAAAAAAGGAGAGATGAATTCACTAACTAAAAGCCAATGAAATAATGCTGAAACTGATTATTTAGGAGAAAATAAAGAATGATTACTTCTGGGCCATCGCAACTTATTTCTAGTCATACCATTCAATGTATCTATTTACCGATCGTGATAATTGCACAGACGCCAACCACTTAGTTTGTATCTATCAACACGACTCGCGAACGATCTGTAGTGTTATAGACTGATGCTACACTTCGATTTTTTCAACCTATTCTCACATTAACCAGAACTTCATAACAAAGTAGACATTGGTTAGGCATACGTAGCATATATCTATAAGGCTTATCGACTTCCATCTTCATTTGGTACAATAAGCCTATTTTTTTAAAATTACTCACTTGGTACGATGGAAGTGTATCTAAGACACCAAAAAAATTAACTTAGTTTTAGGAGCTTAGCAATTAGTTTATACTCAGAAATCATTGCTTCTGAGACACATTTTAATACTAAGCATTAATGACAATAACTATTTCACTATACAAAAATTTACACAAATAAATGAATTAAAAGTCATCATCACTAGGATATTTACAATTTCCTCATCTAAATTATTTTGAACCAATCATCTTTTTGAAATGTACATTGTTTATTGATTTTTCCACTGTTTATTCTGTTTCCGCAATTTCCTAAAAAAAAAATTTTAAACCTAAATAAAATTCTTACTGTATGTTTGTCTATCTATCCATCTAACGTTCAGTACGTGTGTGTGTGTGTGTGTTGATTGTACATAACTAACTGAATCCATGGTATATATGACACTTTCTTCCTCTTAAGAAAAATGCCTTCTCAAATTTTTCCCAAAAACTAGGTTGAATCATTCTGATCTTGTTACCGTAATTAAAACAACATAATATTATGTAACCCCACCCAATCGCCAATATTTATTTAACTTTTTTTAGTACAAACTGTAGTATACGAATGAGCGTAAGCTCTGGAATTGTCCTTCTGTGTGTATTTGTGTGGGAGTGTAGATTAGTGTGGGATTTAATAGTAACATTAGATGGAAATTACGGCAGGAATATTTAAACGTCTCATCAACAGTGTACAGCTAGAACCTTCCAGTTATAAATAATTTACGATACAACACGTCGATGATTGAATCCTTTTTAGGATAACAGTCTCATTTCCAACATGACTCAATTTTCACCAACTACAATGTTCAAGCGGAACTGTGTAAATACGCCTTGAAACAAGTTGCTGGTGCGAGTAAACTATTATAGTTTTATTGAGATAATGAAACGACCTAATTGAGATAACCATCGAAGATCTGGAAACACTGAACGGCCGTTTCATCCTAGTACAGGACTCCTCAGAAATGTTCATCTACCACTTCGAAACCGCATCAGTTTGTGATGCCAGTAAACCCATACTGATAACTATCATGTACTTACCAATGACTGGTTTATAGAGAGAATCACCGAAGTTCTAGTGAGAAGCCGTAACTAGCGAAGTTCAACCGTGTCGCGTTTGATGAAGTTACCAGCAAAAGATAATAGAAAATGATCACCTAATATCGTGGATTGATTAAAGTTAGACATCCATACCATCTAATGCTGGTTCAATGGTCTAGAAGTTAAGTGCTAGAGCGCGAGATCGAAGGTCCTGGGTTCGACTACCGATTGTTGTGTCATGGATACTCACTGCTGGGGAGCTCCATATTAGAACGAAATAGTTGTTAAGTACCTCCAGGTTCTCACTGACTGTCTAACCAAGATAGGTTATTGATATCAATAGAATCCAGCTATCTTCACAACTCTATATCAACGATAATATTTTTCAATGATTGTAAAAAATATCTTTGTACAACCATGGAGAGGATGTGACATGCTGTGAATATCAAATCACCTGAGATACGTGCTTTCGAATAAAGATTACATCTGAGCATACTTAATTTAATTCAGGGCATAATCAAGGGTGTTTTAATAAATAAAAAGTATTAGCCCACTCTATATAATTATAACAAATCTTACTTTTATTCATGATACTCCTTACTCTAGCGCCTAATTCCAACTCCTGACATTACCTGCACTCTTAATTCGACCCTTTGTCGATTTATCATTCGTGTTAAGAACCATTTATGCATCATAGTTTTATCACTATTTACTATAAATCGCTTCAGGACAAAACACTGGTTTCTGGTTTACTGACAGCTGTTGGAAATCGTCGCTATGATATATTCTTACCACTGTTGTAATGACAGAAATTTCATTTACGTGTTTTTGATTTTTTGTTTGTAGAATTCTGCAGACGAGGAAAATATTGGTCCATTGACTTATTATCCTTCTAAATCTGTTGGTGGAAAACGATAGTAAGTGTAAATTTTACAGTTTTTTTTGTTTTTGTATTGTGTTGATTCTTTCATTTCGGTTTCAAACTTTGCTTTTTTTAGTGATCGAACTCGGTCTATTGATGGGCAGTTTTCGCTTCATTTTATGTGTTGTACAGTAAGATATTTGGTTAAATTTTCTATAAAAGGAATATTCAACTGGTTTCACAACGATTAAATAAAACACTAATCGATAGAGCATGATAAATGATAATGCCATACGAGGTCGAATTATTTAAGCAAGCGAACCCGTTCCCCTGAAAACAAATTATTATCAAAAGACTATACAGTGGAAAATCAAACAAAGTTTTTGTTTAAAAAAGATAAAAAGTTTGTGAAAATTGTTCATTTAAAAGAAAGATTTCCTCATCAATTGACTTTAACCGGAGTGCGCTTGAAAAGCAGAGATTACTAGACACTTGTTTCATTCCTACACGTGAATCCATGTCTGAATGCACTGACAATCAAATCAGCAGTCAAACCGCAGCACCTGCATGTGCCTTGGCAGATGCATTTTCATTATAAAATACTGAGCTGATATCAAATGGGTTTATATTCACATACTTAGTCAGTTTTTATAGAGTAAGATTACCATCCAGTTGTTATTTGTGCTATCTATCTCATTCTTAATATCGCTCAACTCCAGAAGTCAGATCTCCTACTGTTTTTCTTAAAAATTCACAAAAAGCAACACTTCACATTATTATATAATAACACAAAGATAAGTAGGGTATTCGCAAGCATTCAGCACAAATAACATCAACGCATCAAAATGAATCATGACTTTCGTTAAAAATTTATTACTGAATACAAGTGAACCAATAATATATTATCAACTGGTTTTATCAACTCTCTTAAATGTCCAACAGATCATTTGTGTACACTTAGAATTTTCTTCTTTCCGTTTACAGTTTTCTTATCCAAACAGTATTTAGTCTTTATAATAATTATTAAGATCGTACGAAACATTTCAGTATAATCGGTTTTGTTCTAATTTTCAATGTATTATTGTGGTTTTGTGCCCTTATAACGTGATGATGCCACTAGTTAGAAAACAGTGATTTATCGACTGGACCAATGGCGCATAAAACCCGTACTAACAGTCTAGAGTCTTTACAGGTCCTGCTTCCTGCCTAACACAGCCTGTTAAGTCCAGAACACCAATCTCAGCCCCTGCAATATGAACCATTTATTTCAAACACACTGGGTTTGTATACCAACCAAACAGACCATATCGTACCATAAAATAGGAAACAACATTTGTACAAGACCTAACCAAATGTGGCTGTGAATGTGGGAGATAGTAATTAATATCAGAAGGGGTTTGTGGAGATTTTAGAAATTTCACAGATTGAAATTATGAGTCAGTTGAAGCTAGACCACCATAGAAAACCTGGAAGCACTGGACGGCCGTTTCGTCCTAGTATGGGACTCCTTAGCAATTAATAGACAGGGCATAATTCAAGCATAGTAAATCGCATAATAATAGTTCATAGGTCAAAATAAAGATTATAATAAGAGGAACATGAATATGAATAGTTTAGTGACTTAACAATTAAACGATAAAAATATAAGTATAATATTGGTCCGTAAATGGGTCGCAAAAGTTACCACTCATTGTTCTCATCAGGATACAACAGTTATTTCGTTACATTTTCCTTTACTGAACAATAGATCACTTAATTTTGTTAAAAATGAAACCATGTAAAATTTAGGCGTTTCATTTAATTTATGCTTGTAACTAGATGATCAATGTTAAAATATAATAAACTGATTTTTTCATCATATAGACTAAATTGTATATCATCAATATTAATAATGTAAATAACGACAAAATGTATTGACTTGGAATGTTATCAGAAAGTAATTTCCACAGTTTTTTTTCTTTTCACATAAAGAATCCGATGATTTCTACTTAATTCTATTTTCAAAGTTTAACTATCATTTCTTGTATTGAATATTTACTGAAGTAAATATTAGATGACATAGTTGTTGATTCATTTATTAATTTCAAAGGTATGTAGAAATTTATAGGTAGGTATCAATGTTAGGATTAGATTTGATAGTTTCAAATAAATTGAGCATTGGATACAAAATTAATAATAAATATACTTTTTGCTATATCTTAAGGAGTAGAAAAATTGTAATTTCTGATGTTTCGTGACTTAAATTAAGCCACTTCTTCGGAATAAATGGATAGACGAATTAAAGTACAAAATTTCTCTGTATTATTTAAACTTGTGTTAATTTAATTTAGTTATTTATTTACTCTGAAGAAGTCGCTTACACTAAGTCATGAAACGTCAGAAATACAATTTTTCTACTCATTGTGATATAACAAAAAGTATATTCATTAGTATGTGGAAGTTGTTAAGTCACTCTGAAGAAATGATCTAACTTAAAGACGAACAGAGGTGATGGTTGAGTGGAGAAGCATATTTTATCGTATGCAGTAGTAGAGGAACATAAAAATTTTGAACTGGTTACATAGAGTAAGATAGGTGTTTACATCAGTTTGTGCAAAGATCTGATAATGATGTATAACTGAGAGCATTTATCCACTAGTGTCTGTTAAAACTAAGAAGGTTAGGATCAATTTCGAGTGCTTTATATTAGTCGAGGAACATTTGAAAACTAGAGACTATGGAAGTCTAATTTCCGTTGTAGTATTTGGTCCTGCGATTTGTTCCGAGTTCAAATTTTTTAGATTGATTAAACGGAGTCTAAATACACAATGTGGTATGTAAAATTTATACGATATAAACCGATATATTTGTTTTACAAGTTTATTAGACAGGTAGAAAATTAAGGTGTATCGAACTATACAATTTGCTTGCATTGCACTGCATAGCAGACTATTTAAAACGTTGATGTACCTGAAGATGTATTTTCATTTCTTCTATATAAAAAAACAATGTTAAATATTATATATTTCCTAAAAATTGATTAATAATCAGTGATGAGGAACTGTCTTTAAATTAAACGGTCTTCATGAAGCTTCTATCTTTATCCCAATCATGAACTCATTCGCTGATATCTGATTTTGCGAAGTAAGATGCAGTGATCGATGTAGTTCATTTCTCTCAGAAATAGATATGATAGTAAATGATTCACTTGGTATTGTTTGGCTTGTATCTTCCTACTGAGGTTTAAGACCGCAATTGATCAGTCTGTTATTGCCATATGTGCATACTTTGTGTATGCCTCGATATTGCCTTAATTCACAACCTTTTTGTAAGCAGTACCAAGTGAATTTAAATTCACCCCATTGCACAAGCAAGTGGCTATCAGGACTCAGTAGCTGAGTGTATAACTCGATGTCGTTTGAAGCGAACGGTACTGGGTTCGAGTTCCAGAGTGAACATCAACTCTGAGATGCAGGTACATCCAGCTGACGAGTCCCAGATAGGACGAAACGCTCGTCCTAGATTTCACTACTAACCAATATCCATCATTGCTTACAAGATAGTGAATGATGTTTGCGTTGTATATCTCAAAGTAACTGGAATCAAAAATACGGATCAATGAATCCTGGTTCAGTAATGAAGGCGTACTCGCCATAAGACTTGAAGTTTCTCGATTTTATACCTGATAAGATCTTATTTATGCACTGATATAGAGGCTGTTACTAGAATGAGACAACTATCTTATGCCTTCTGGTTTTCCATGGTATTTCTACCCGACATTAGTTCATTTTAACATACTGTATGTATTCAGAGTACCAGTTTTTATTTTTTTGAAATTTCTCATATGATTTTCATTTCAATGATGAATGTAATGCAGGACTGGATATATTTGTCTATATTTGTAGTTGTGTGTGTGTGTGTACATTATTCATTTCATGAAATCATATAAATAAGAAATGCATACTTTCCTTAAGTTTTGGCATAATGAATCTAAATCATTTCTTGATTTATTTTGCCAATAATTAATTCGAATTTTAGCATTTTGTTTGTTGTAGATTAACATTAGTTATTAACAAGAATTAATAAATAATGAAATAGTTGTATTATGTTCCTTTTTAACTCAACTTGGAACAATTTGAACATGTGGTCTAATAAAAAATTTATGCACTGATATACTTTCACAATATTTATATACTACTGATATCAATCAATTTCAATCCAATTAAATGTTAAAGAAAAACATAAGATATTATTTGAGAATAAAGATCCATTTTTATATAATGCTAATTCATTGTAATCAAACTAGCATAAATATCTTCATGGCAAATCCATAAAAGAATCAATTCATAATTTAGATTAATTTGGATATTCAGTAGTTGGAAGTATTAAGTCAGTAGGAACATTTGAACTTAGATTTTGTGCTAGTTGATACTTATCAATAAACTGTACCTGCGCGTTCCAATATGAAACCCAAATCTAAAGTTAATTCCCGACTATTTTCAACTACTTAATACTAAAACATTTTACACTTAATATTGAGTCACCTTAAACTGGTGTCTACAACATAATTCAATCAATTGAATTAAACTAACAGCAAAGGACTAGTAGAACATGACATTAAATACTTCTTAGAGATCAATCCAGTATAAAATAAATTGTTCATATAGAAGCAACATTAATTAAATTTTTAAATATAGAAAATTGTATCTCATTGAGCAATAATTTAAAGAAATATTCATACTGAATTATATCAATTTCTAAACAAAGATGGTTAGTGGTTAGCAGTGGAATCTAGGACGAGCGTTTCGTCCTATCGGGGACTCGTCAGCTGGATGTACCTGTATCTCAGAGGTAACGTTCTCTCTGGGACTCGAACCCAGTACCTTTCACTCCAAACACCATCGCGTTATCCACTTAGCTACTGAATCCTGATAACTACTATCAATTTCTATCATCAGTGTATGGGAATTTAGTAAATTATACTAAAAATATATCTTGGACAATATCCCAATTGTTGTCACATAATATCTAATGTGAATAACTGATTAACTGAATTTTAAAGAATAAACTTACTTATCACTGATTTTTGTTTGATTCCGTCAGTTGCTAATTAAATAATGAATGAAATGTTAACTAATATACTTTCTTCTTATGATATCCGCATTTATTTATTTTAAGATACAGATATTGGTACAAGGAGACACCAAATACATAGGTGCCACACAGATCTCGTTTGATATGTGTCGGGGCTGTGTTACTGCCCGGGTGCCCAAACCGAAGCAGTTGGCTTTCTTAGGGGGCCATATCCGGAGACTTCGACCTGAAGGTCTGATCCACAAGGCAGTGGAGCATCATAAGGAGATGCATTCCCATGGTAGCCAGTAACCAACGATTGGTTCATACACCATTTGTCCCTTCAGGATACTGGAGCCCATGTGCACCATTCGTTTGGAATCAGGGTTTTCCAACTCCCCTAGGTGGACTCTCCATGTCCACTAACACGGTTCAAGTCCCCACCGGACATTCTTTTTTCGTCCTCTCAATTTCGTAAACAACACCCCAGCCAAGAGAAGGCAGTGAGTAGGACTGCCCTGGCAGAAGCTATATACGCGTGGCCATGTGAGAACGTTTCGAGAGGGAGAGCTGACTCTCCGCACTCTCGGCCGTGCCAGGGCATTTCGGGGCATACACAATACTAGCGTATTATTATTATGAACATCGTAATGTGATTATGAATTTCTTCTAGAAGTTAATATTTTCAGTTTCATTCTTGACCTAACAGTTTATTTCGACTTTACTCAATATCCCAGTTGGTCATTGAAATTTAGGGAAAAAATCAGCCTCCAAAGTAAAATATATCTTTTTTTTTAGAAACAAAAACCAAATATCCATAATTTTCATTACGAGCAATTCAGTTTTTATGTAACTTACTTTTGACAACAGTCGAGTAAATTAAATGGGTCACAATCACTCAATATATTCGTCTTTAAAGGTTCAAACCACTCATTTCATTATACTATTTACTTTCAGGTTACAATTCATCTACTCTACTTAATATAAAAAAGTAAAATAAAATCCTCTTACTTTCGTTATAATGAAAAATACAACAGGCGAAAAAAAACCGTCAGAAAAATCCACAAATGATTTAATAACTTTAACCAATCAATAGGTTTACAATCACCATGGTGTTTACAAACAAACTAGGAGTAGTATTCACTAGTAAATTATCGAATAATCAATTTTAGAAAAATTTTTTCTAACCTTCTCACTTCTATACTCCTATATTATCGTGATATTAGCCTGTTTATAGTTTGTATATTAAATGTTTTGACCGAAAAATAACTTCTCCAAATTATTTTTGTTATTATTTTTTTTCGTTATCTTTTTTTCTCTGTTCTTTAGTGGGGTATTCAGTAGTGCTTATTATCCATATCTTGGACAAGCGGGTTATCTTGGCCCATTAGTTGCTGTGGAATTTAAAGCACCTAAAAAAAGCGTCGCTATTTTGGTTAAATGTGCAATTTCCAATGTTCAAAATGCCAATAAAGATGAATTGAATTTTGAAATAATGGTTGATTAGAAACTATCACTGACAATGATATCAATAATTAGTCTCTATATAGTTACAGAAATGGACAACCCTAATCACTTCCCATGATGATGTTCTTAAGTTGTTAGTCATTTAGCTACTGAACAACATTTAAGTAGTTTAACATTGAAGAATCAATGGTTGGTTCCGACACCAAATGCATTGGTTAAAACAAGATTAAATTGAAGAATTGATGATAAAATACACTGAAAGTCGAACTGAGGAGGCTTTTCAGTGTATTTTATTATCAATTCTTCAATTTAATCTTGTTTTAACCAATGCATTTGGTGTCGGAACCAACCATTGATTCTTCAATGTTAAACTACTTAAATGTTGTTCAGTAGCTAAATGACTAACAACTTAAGAACATGATCATAGAAAGTGATTAGGATTGTCCATTTCTATAACTATATAACTACTTATACTTAATCACTATAGAATATTGTTAACATGAAACTTTGTTTTTGTTTTTGAGAAGTTAATTTTCGGTTCAATCGAACAATAGAAATACATTATGAAAGTTAAATAAAAATTTGCTCTTATATTTTGTAGTTAAAAAATTCGATACAGAAACATTAGATTTGTATCTATTTAGAATAATTTATCTTAATTGTTTTGAAAAAGAACTAAATAACTTTTATTGTTTCCATATTCGAATCTAATTTAATTGATGTTGTCTAAATCATTTCTATGTAATTTATTATTACCATTATTATTCTATTAATAAAGATAAATTTAGATAGAAAATTACTGGGGGGGGATTTTTATTTTCGGTTATTACTCAATTTACTAAGGAATATATATATTTTCAAAGTCTTCAGGAATTCAATAATATTCCAAATTATTCTTCACATTTTTGATATGAGGTTATCATTGAAGATAAGGGATTCTTGAGAATATGATATTTTAGAATATTAAAGATTCCCATTGTGAAAATTAGAACAACACATATAAGCGAACAATATTGTTTTCAATTAGATCGTCATCAGGCTTTACTCTAATATACATGAATATTTATACGAAATTGTTAAACCAATCAAGGCAATATGGGTCAATCATCACAATGAAATAGAATAAGTCACTACACATAATAGGTAAAAGTACAAGTTGATAGTAGGAAGACAGGTGAACTGATAATAGTAAGAATAATAAAATACAATAACAAAACTCTTATCACTAGTTAAACGTTGGAAATAGAAGGTCAAACAAACATGGGTAAATAGACTAGGAATAGTAATCACAAAACATTAAAATCATTACGTAATAAGATGTGTGTAATTAATTAGATAGTGAAGAATACGAAGAGGCGGAAAATTACAAACCAATAATGGATGTGAAAATAAGGTTAACGATAACACAAATAGAATAAAATAAATAATGATAATAATAAAATTTAAATAAATAAAAATTGTTAGTTAAGTTATAACCGGCCATGGAAGGGATAGGGGGGTCACGTATTTCTTCTGTACACATAAATTGGGGTAATATGTACGAATTCCAATGGCTTCAGCTATATGTAGGAGACGGGAACGGACTCCGTATAAATATTCATGTATATTAGAGTAAAGCCTGATGACGATCTAATTGAAAACAATTGTTCGCTTATATGTGTTGTTTTAATACGATATTTATTAGTTTTAAGTTTCTCAATAGTTCAAACAAACATGTATATGTTATAAGATATGTCAATACTGATTTCTACAAGAATTAGTTAACAAACTGTGTTAATGAGTCACATTCAATGTAGACAAATAACAAGAAACGATAATTATTGATACAGTAACACTAACATTTTTATCAACGTCAAAATTTTCTACAATTGTACCACTACAAAACTTTGGTCTACATTTATCTTCACAATGGGTGACACACACCACATCGACAGCAAAAAGCTAATATACAGAACATTAGTACATTAACTGCTATTATTTCTACACAGTCATATTCCTCTGATCTATTTTATTCTGCCCCATCTATCAAACATTCGTACACTTCCCTGTCACTCTGTACATGACATTATGCTAACGGTATTTCCCGATCGACCTACAGTTTTAATTCAAGTGACTGATGTATATAGTTACACCGTATTTTATGAGTACAAGATGCTGTTTGTAATTTTGTCTTCCTTTTCGAACAGATACATTACATATAATATTTATGTCCTAAGGTAAGTCCAAAGTATTAAACCATAGGGTTAGCCTTACCTTGTGTACACCTCGACATTAAACTTAACTCAGATCAAACCACTAGATCTCCTGACTAAGTAGAAAGCTGTGGAAAAGCACTATTTCATCCATAGATTACTTACTTACGCTTGTTACCCATCGTCGAGGAGCATAGGTCACACATCAGCTCTATCCATCCAACCCTGTCCTAGGTAATCTTTCCCAGTCGCAATTAATCCTTTCCATGTCTACTTCCGATTCCCAACCCAGTGTATTCTTTGGCCTTCCTCTTTTCCGTTTCCATACAGGATTCCAAGTTAGCGCTCACCTCGTGATGCCGTTCGATTACTTCCTCAATATATGTCCTATCAACCACCAGCGTCTTTTCCTAGTTTTCTCTTCAACTGGAAGCTGGTTTGTTCTCTCCCATAGTAGACTGCTGTTGATGGTATCCGATCAAAGGATATTAAATATTTTCCGTAGATAATTGTCTATAAATATTTGTACTGTTTTGATGATGATTGTAGTAGTTCTCCATGTTTAAGCTCCGTATAGTAAGACTTTCATAATTATCGCATAGAAGATTCTGGTTTCGATGTTGGCCGACAGTTGTTTTGAGTTCCATGTGTTTTTCAACTGTAGGAATGCCGTCCTCGCTTTATCAATCTGTGCCTTCACATCTGCATCAGATCCTCCTTGTTCATCGATGATGCTAACCAGGTATGTAAACGTTTCAACTCGTTCCAGAGTTTCTCGATCAAATGTGATTGTTTTGGCGTTCTCTATTTTGTATTTGAGGATCTTGCTCATTCCCTTGTATATGTTGAAGAGTATTTCGGCAGAGGCTGGTGCTATACTGGCTACCTTCACCTGCATTTGTTGGTGTGTATGGGATAGGAAAGCTAGGTCATCTGCAATGTCCGAATCGTCTAGCAGCATCAAAGCTGTCTATTGTCTTCCATGCTTCTCTGATGTGTGAAGACCTTCATAATCCGATTGAATATCAGAAAGAAGTAAAGGGGCGAGAATAATCGGGCTTGTCTTTACATGGAATACATCTGTCAGCTTTCCTCCATACACGACTTTGCATTGTAGTCCGTCGTATGAATCGACTGAGGAACAATTAAGACAAAAATGTACTGTCATATTGTTACAACTCATATTCTGATGCAATATCTAGCGGTAAAGTTACATTACTAGTTTCATCAGTGTGACAAGGTTAAGCTTCTTAAAAATGTTATGTTCCTTCGTCAACAAAAGAACGATACACGGAAACTTTAGAACCGTACTTATGTAGTTAGGTTGACTATTACTCACAAAAAATTTCCAAAAGGTGGCTTGTGAATAAATTCTAAAACAGGTCTTTTAATGTAACATTGATGCCATCGTCCTGACAACATATGCAAATGATAATAAATCAAGCATTGAGGAAAACAGAGCTTACTTAAACCACAAATTCGCAATTCAATCATCATAAAATATGACTCGTTAGGTTTTCGAATAGTGTAATCATCTCAGACCGTAATGGGACTACTGATCTCTCAGGCATGCTCACCACTTATTTAAGTGCCACTTTACTTACCTGTAAATACCGGGATTATTCATTCAGTATTTGGTTTTGGACAGTCACGTATTTCTCCTCCATTGAGTTAGGCCGTTCAAGAGTTGGGGGCATGTATTTAGGCTGAAATGGACCACATTTCGTAACAGAATAACTGTACGAATAGTGATCAGGTGAAGAGTTATTATAACACACAAACGAAACACTATATAGGAAACATAAATAAGTAGACTATAAGAATGAATAATATAGAGAAGTTACTTCTCAATTTTAACACATATGAGCTAATAAGTCCCATGAAACACATTTAAGTGGGCTCTTGAAATAAGGAGAACGAGACTGAGCTGTGTATAATGATACCCAAAATGTTCGAAAACCAGTATCGTAATGTGAATAAAGCATGTACTCATTGACAATTTTTATCAACTCTTGAAACATCGAATACTGGGAGGGAGCTATGTCACATGAACGCCTCCCTATCACAAATATCTGTATAATCTTATCATTTCAAAATTATATTATTTTGATTATATTTTCACTTATGGGTAACATTGAGCGCAATCGGTCACAGTGGAATAGACTGGCACTCATTTTTTGTTTTCTCTTAAATGCTGAGTTTGAAAATTATCTCATATGTTTTTTACTCCATGAATTCATCCTTTCTTTCCTAATCATATCGTCTATGTGTAAACCTTACTACTAATAATGACACTGTTAACACTCCTAGTACTGTGACATTTATGTCGCTGAGGGGATATGATATGGCAACTTTGACCGATGTAAATATTGTCAGGTTCTACGTTGTTTATGACTAACTGGAAGTAAAACTCAAAAATCATGAACCATGTATTATATACAAACTAGCAATATCATTTAAATCAAAGTGGAGAATGATTTACGAATCTTTAAATAAACAGAAAATCAAATGTCTACACTGATTAAGTCAGAAATCTGACATTTCAATTTTTGAAAAATTCATAGGATAGATTGTTTACCCTTTTAAAATACAAAACTTGAAATACAACTAGTATATACAGTTTTATTCATGTAACTTATTTATTTACAAAAACAATTCCAAGACACTATCAATAATCAAATTTACAGTTACTGTTATAATCTACAAACGATTTGATCTATTTCGAGAACTAGTTCGTAAAACAATCAACAACAACAAAAAGAGATATCCATTAAAATTGTTGTAGCAAGCTGCGAAAGGAATTGACAATATCTATTCTACAAAAAAAATAGGATAAAAAAAGATAAGAATCTATTCTCAAATGAAGAAATAGTTATGATGTATATGACACATAAATAACTTAATAGATATTAAATTTATTATCGGCTTTAAACACTTTGAGGTGAATAGAAAGATAATACTAGGCATAACTAATTTGTGAATAGTTAATTTGGATATATCCATGTATTTATTAATAGAAATCCATTTTAACGCTACGGGATTTGAATCGACAACTGCATCTCTGTGCTAATGTGGTATGGCAACTCGAACTGATGTACGTACGTACGAAGTTCTACGTTGTTACAGACTGACCATTTTAACGAGTTTATTTTCAAAATTTTGTTACAAAAAATGTATTTCTTCCTGTAATGTACATATTCCCAACTAAAATTGTTTAAAGTTTATTATTTATTGACAACAGGTTAATAACAAAACGTTTACGAATAAAATTACTATCTGAACTTCATAACATACTGAAAAATAAATACAGTGACATATATATATATATATATATATATATATATATATATATATACCACTATTTACCCGGTAATTACTGGCCTGCATTGCAACGTAGTTCATGCGATGTCCAGTCACAAAAACTAGTGGCCACATTATGACTCGTTCAGTAAAACTTACTCAGTACTGAGACTAGACAAGTACGATATTGGTCACTAATCTGTGATCAATCAATTCTAAACATTAAACAATTCGTTTGCAAGAAATGTGTTTGGTATTTTGAACTCAATAACAAGTTGTATAACTTACGATGATGGTCTTTTTTCTTCAATATAATTATCGCCAACGTTTGATTGTTGGTTTTGTGAGGATTTCAATTTTGACTTTTGAATACGCATTCCATTTGACTTTACGAAAGCTGACTGATCGGTAGAAAAGTACACTATCGATTGTTGATTTTCACGAGATTCTCCTTTTATATCTTTTTCCATAGAAAGTAAGGTTGATTTTAAATTTTGATTGCGATTAAAATGCGAATGCAATTTAGATTTGAGACGCTTTTTACGATGAACTTTTTTGACAATTCGATGCATATTAGTATTATTAGGTGATAAACGAGTGCAAGGTTTACTCAAACTGTTGTTATCACTACATTCAATATATGGATTTAAGGCGTGTTTAAAAGACGATTGGGAAGGGTTCGAATGATCCTATTTAAAAAGGATAATAAGTAACAAAGAAGTTGGAAGTGGATATTTACAATCAGCACATATTATTTGTCGTCAATAATAATGAGACACAAAAAAATACATATTTGACCTCCAGTTCTTCTATCATCAAATGCTAAAATAGTCGGACGATTAAAGCGATATTTTAACTGTATTGCAAATAAAACATGCGTGATCGGTCGGTGAAACGTCGAACATTTTAATTACGAACTACATTTACTGTACGAATAGTAACAATTTGTACAATACAGGATTCACACTCAGAGCAGGGGAACCAGATTCTTAAGGTAATTGGGTTCAGGTGAACTAGATTGTGGTTAGAGGTATGTAAGAGGTTGATATTTACCAATTAATAACACTTTGAAGGCCCTGAGAAGGAAATTAGGCTAGTGGCGATCTCAACCTGAGAACGTTACTGAAGAGCATAAGGTAAGTCAAAATTTCATGTTGAAATATTAAAGTTATAATGGCCCTTCAGTCTCTTTATATTTGTGGAATGAAACCAAAATTACTCACTTCGGAATTAGGATCGTCAGTTAGCATATTAGTTATGAATTGTGCTTTAAGGTCTTGTTTTATTATGTTTTTCATTTTCTTACTTACAACCAATACTGACCCATCCTCGTTACGAATATGCTTCTTGGAAAAGCGATCAGAAGGATGTCGAGAAGAGATAGTTTTCCTTACAGGAGCCATCCGACCTAAAGCAAAAGAAGAGTAGACGGATAACATACTTAAAGGTACATATGTAGTGAAAGACATCTCAGGTTTGGTGGCTTTGTCGATTACATGTACTCAAACTAGGTACTGACCTAAATAAGCTCTTAAATAACATTGCACATGCAAAATGCTCTACAGAAAACACATTTATAAATATGTTTCTACATCGAAACATACCCCCAACAAACTTACGCCGACACTCAATTCATTTAGATCGAGAATTGTCGGTGCATTCACGATGACAGTGATTTATAAATTTTGGGGTATTTTGAGAAAACTCCCGAAGTCAAATGATCTTCACCAATGTTTGGGGGATTCTGGGGAAATCTCCAAAGTCAAATGACTTTGACCAAGGTTAACGGGGAACTTTGGGGAAATATTGAGGAAATTCCCTAGGTTTGGGTAAATTTTGGGGTTTTTGTGCCATTTCCCCAAAGTTCACTATAGCGGCTCCCCAAAAATGGGTGAAATTTTCCCCGAAATTTGGAGCTTGGTTTATGGATGATCTTTGAGTGACGCTATGGAGTCCACCTACATACTACGGCTAAATGAGGATTATAAACCAGCGTGAGGAATAAGGATTGATATTTACAGTTTATGGTTAGTATTAGGAATCCGATATATGGTTTTCATCACGAACTGGAATAAGCTACACTGTCAAAACTATATTTAACCAAATGGATGAGTAAATTTAGAGCCGAAATTCGAGACCTGTTATCGTAAATTTGTTTGGTTCGTCCACAAATTATAGTCTCGTCGAGCGCAGCCTGATGGGCACCAACTAGGGTAGGTAATTCAGACAGCCACTGGCTGGCATTACCTCTCGTCGGTACGACCTTGAGTGACTAGAAGACGGCGGGCAATGTGTACTTGAATCCAATATCCTAGTGACAAGCTCATGTACACAGGTTGATTTCATTGAGCTCGTCTTCTTTCATTTCTGTATGGTTCCGGATCTTTGATGGTGTCTTACGAGTAGTATTCTAGCCACTTGAATGGACTACTTGCAGGTATGTGCATCTTGTAATCAGAGTTAATGTCTTAGTCTAAGAACAACTAAGTTTCTGGAACCGTCAGCTTCCACATTAACTAACAAGCTGCTGGTTGGTTACGTCATGAAAAATAATGTGGGGAAAATTTAAATGCTTAGATAAGGCGACTTTTTCAGAAAATTAATCAATTCACTAATAAGTTAATTAACTGGTAATGCAGACAGTGTGAGTAGACTGAAGTGTAAGAATATGAAGACCAGCAAAGATGATAATCAGCGGGGTAGGAACTAGCTGATGATGTGTGATAATAATAATAATAATGTGTAGGTTAAGAGACATGTATCAGACACAACTGTTGTAACCAAGTGAGGGTAACCCATGAGTGAGTGAATAAATGTTGAAGCCATCAATTAAGCGAGTTAAAAAGTTAAAGGGTACATGAGCTTTCGCTTTTTGATGTGAAATTTCTGAGGTGGAGAGTAATGTTGAAGCTCTGGTATGATCTCCGAAATCCTTGCTAATAGACATTAGCCAGAGCTAACAAAATGACCTATTTAACTCGCTCAGGGAAATTAGAAATGTGTATAGAAGAGCTACGATGACTCATTGCGATACAAGTGATAGAAAGGTCGTCCAAATAGCAGCATAAGTGAGTTGACACAACCCGACTGCTTGGGATAACTGGAACACTTATTTTGGTTATAAATGTGCCTCATGAAAACAAGTGGATCACTAATGTTCGAAGACCAGGACAGCATTGCTGCTGATTGTCTATTGAGCTACTAATTATGGACATACACTGACCACTACAATGTACTTAAAGACGTATTCAATTCTGCCTCTCAACAATATTTATTATTAATTCATATTATCATACCTTAATTTCGTCTTTCTCCAGGAATAGTACACATCTTTGCCCACTCTCACTTCTCTATAACATTTAAGGCCCTTGTACTTTGACAGTTTGAAATCTGAGTTCAGCAGGCTCGGTGTTGGCTGACAGTCTTTAAATAATTTCACAAACCGAAGGGAAAAACATTCATGGTTCAAAAATGTCCGCCGAAGTTAACGGAATGACTTTTTCTTCAGGAATCGCATAATAATGGCTTCAGTTGCATTAAGATACACATTAGACACCAAGGTACAGACGGATGCCTGATAAATAACGTTTGGATACCAGTTGTTGAGGTACAAGATGATTGAGGGATTATTAACATTTGGGCATTTCTATGCATTGTGTCAAATAACTTCGAACCTATTTAGCTACATAGATTTTAACATATTCACAAAATTCTAGGTCGAATTCTTTTGACAAAGACTGTATCGCTTTGCATCAGCGGTCAACCGCTGTCTAGAAAAGATTTGTAGGTCATCGATGTAGATTATCTGTGTCGGACGATTGAGGACGTGCTCGGGTTAAACGGGAATGGTTCCAAAAAACATCTATCGTAGAAGTCACACCTCACGGTTGGTACCTAACGTGGATTAACGTTTCGCATGTTCAAGTACTTCGGATGCTTTGATGACCGTACAAAACAAAAAAGTTATTACAGGAATATGTTGTTAAACGCAGGTATAGGGAACAAAGTGCGATCACTGTTGCGTGAGCCAGTCCATGGCGCGCAATTAACTGGTGCGCAGAGGTTTCCCTTGACCTTGATGGGAATCGATAAACTGCTCGACATGCAGTGACCTGGCTACCTGACGATTTGTCTAGGGTTCAGTGATATCTCATCGCGTCTGCAGACTGGTCTGCCAGAAGAATTCGAAGAAGAGTATCTACCCTTATTACTGAGGCCTCTAAGTATTCAAACCACGAGACATTTATTGAGAGTAGTTAACTACAGTATCTGACTTCTTCGAATGAACTTGTAGTGATATTAGTCCTGACCACACAGTTCCCAAAGCTGAACCTGAGATAAAAGAGAAAATAGATATTCAGATTTCGACACTTAAAGAAGAACAACAGTGGTGATCGCAGAAATATTCATGCATTCAATCGGAAGGCATGGCTCAGCTTCATAAACGCGGTCATTCTGTATAGCTTATCTTCATATTAAATATATTGTCCTATCTTCGGCCTAAATATGTTCTTCAGAAGTACTAAGAATCGTACTAATTGTTACGATACGATGAGTCAATGTAAACAATGATGTGAATTCCACTTAAGATCCAGTAGATTAAGAAATCACATTATGACAAGTCTATGCTTTTAGGATTAGGTCTATTGTTATCGTAGCACTAATAACGAACTAGACCATAATTCTAACCAAGTACTGTACAATTATACGAAACCCAAAGTCGAGTTCATTAAATTGTAATACAACTATTACAGATCACTGTAACGAAAATATTCCTACCATCATACAGAAGGCTGATTGATAATCCATCCCTGACATGCGATGGTCTGCTTGACTACCTGCTATTCATAAAATCATTTAACCCTAACAGCACGGTTTCAGGAATGGTCATTCTTGTATAACCAACCTGGTGAATGTAGTGGACAGATGGTGAACCATCCTCGATTGCACGGAGAAGGTTGCCGTCATATACCTTGACTTCTCAAAAGTTTTTGGCAAGGTCAATCATATCAATAAGTTTAAACGGTTAGATATCAAAACACTGTTAACTGTAGTGGCATTGGACAATAGCCACACAATCCACAAAACTGTGAACACTACTCAGAAAATAGATATTCAATATTTAACGCGGAGAAATACCTAAGAATGGAGAAGGCGCGAACAATGAATTGAATGAATTGGAGTTGATCGGATGGCATGGCTCGACCATGCAGGCGTGGTCCATCTGAATGTTACCTTATATCTTCTATTCATATTAAATATATTGTTCCTTCCCCAGCCTAACCTTGTTCTACATCATGTATTGGTAATTGATACGATACAGTGAGTTGGTGTAGTCGATGGTGTAACTTCCACGTAAGATCTTATAGATTAGGCAGTTATATCATGACAAATCTACAAATTTAGGATTGGGTCTACTATAAGAGCAGTACTAATATCATAGTAGACCATAATTCTACATTGGTGAGCCCAACTAAAAAAACGCAACCTATTATTGTTAATCCTTATTTCCACCTTAACCTTCTCAATCGGGTTTTATTTTTGTAAACCCAGTATTCTAATAGTCCTTTGATTAATCATCACATATATTATTGTAATGTTATATCTATTAGTTCACATAATTCACTAGCTCAATCGATAATAAAAGTTGATCATCTATATCAACTAATTAGCTTTGATGGTTCGTTAACAAGCTTTAATAGCATTTACCTGCTTCAGCGACATAGACTTGTTTAAACATCAAGCTCTAGCAAATATAACCTGTAAATAGCGTAAATATACATTGACTAGCAATGCAATCAAGGACTAAATAGTTATCTGGATCTAATTCTTAGTTTTCCTTCACTTAACACATCCTGTTTTAACCTATGCACTATCCTGTGATATCTTTTCTTCTGACCACTGCCTGCCTAATTTCATATTCTCGAGTTCCATTGCCAAACAACAAGAACGACACTTCTCCAAAAAGCATACGGTGAGTTCCAGCTATAAGTTTTCTGCGATCATAAGGTCATTTTTAGATGGTTCGTTTAATGACAACCACACAATTATCTGGGTTCATTCGATTGTTCTGGTCCGAGCGAGTAGCAAAAACCTCAACAGCATCAAGCACCCTGGAATTAATTGCCATACTGCATGTTTTATTCTGAATGCTTTCGGATCAATACTACACACGAATGGCGTTATGTATGTCGTCCACTGAATAATCTAATTTTCAAAATCAAGGCGAGTTCAACTATTTTACTGGATGATTTTTTTTATACTTAAGATGTATATGTTTTTCAGTTGCTTTTGCCATATATTTGTAAGTGTCACTAAGCTAAATGCAGTAACTTCTTATGGAAGGTTTATAACGCATCATATTCCTGCCTGGAGTTTCACAAGCAGTCTAAACTTTAAAATTACTTTTCCTGGTCATGTTCATTATTTTTAAATTTTTATATACGTCAACAACCTGCATGTTAACCTGGCCCGTACATACGTTACACTATATCTTCATATCTTTTGAATTTAGAAATCATCTGAATCACCTTTAACATTTATCAATAAACCCATCATAGTCGTTGTTGCTAATCGTATTTGGGTTTATGGATTGGTTTATCATATTAGCAGCCTAAAATGCGAACATAGTTTAGACAATAAGATTAAAAATTTAGGTACTATCAACTGCATTAGTAAAATAACTAAATCTCCAGGTAGCTGTTGGCTAAACAAACGTTTAAAATAAAAACTCCGTAGCCTACTAGAATTAACACTAAACGAATATTTCTGAATTGAAATTTATAATTAAATTAGGCGTCTCGGATTCTTTAACGTGATAAATTTCTGATAATTTCGAATCACCTAAAGCAACAATACCTATTTTTCCACTGACTAATCCTCAATCAACACTATAACTAGTTAAATTTAATAGTTTCAGGATATCGTCATAAAGCATTGTCATAACTTGACAATCAAGTAATATGATTGATAAAATTAATGGAACTATTAACGAAATCGGTCAACAAATCGACTTATAATTACCATTAAATGGTGTTGTTTTCTTGGTATCTTCATCCATCACAGATGATTACAGTATGTTTCTCTATCAGTTGCTCATTCAGTAAATATCTCAAAACCTTGTCAGTCTAATTGATGGTTTAGCGACACAATCATGCATGCAAATAATCAGTATAAGCAGTCGAGCAAATCTCCTGCAAACTGAAAACATCAATGTCGAATTTACCCCAACACTGACTAAGGTTCAAGCCATTATCATAGACATGAGTTGGGAGTGTACTCCCCCTGGTT